GGCACCTCCTGCCTGGAGTTTGCATGTTCTCCCTGTGCCTGCGGGGGTTTCCTCCGGGTACTCCGGTTTCCTCCCACCCTCCAAAGACATGCTGGTAGGTTAATTGGATCCTGTCTAAATTGTCCCTAGTATGTGTATGTATGAATGTGAGTTAGGGACCTTAGATTGTATGCCCCTTGAGGGTTAGGGACTGATGTGAATGTACAATATATATGTAAAGCACTGCGTAAATTGTTGGCGCTATATAAGTACCTGAAATAAATAAATAATGAGAGAACTGATCATCAGTGCAGCCCCATAAGTACCTATCAGTTCGGCCTATCAATGCCTCTTCATCAGTTCTGCCTATCAGTGCAACCTCATCATCGCACATAAGTGAAGGAGAACAATTACTTATTTTGCAAAAGTTTATAACAGAAACGAAGAGGTGTTTTTTTTTTTTTTTTTTGTTTTTTTTTAGCAAAAAGTAAAAACCCCAGTGGTGGTCAATACCACCAAAAGAAAGCTCTATCTGTCTCCAAAAAATGGTAAAAATTTAATTTGGGTACAGTGTGTTGCTTGACCGCGCAATTTCCATGCAAAGAGCAACAGCGTTGAAAGTTGCCAATTGGCCTGGGCGGGAAGGGGGTGAACGTGCCCGGTAGGTACAGGGTTAAACTGCTAGACTTGTATTTCTTGAGGTGGACAAAGCAATCTCTCATGTGAGCCATCTTAGAGGTTTCTAGGAAACACAGCCATGTGGTAATAACTAGGTTTTTCTTTTTGTTTGCAAGGATACCTCCCTGTAAAGCCAGACCTCATACACAGGATTGAGAAAGGAGAGGAGCCATGGATGTCGGGGGCAGAGAGTTCCAAAGCTAAATGGAGGTTCCTTGGTGCCTCTTCAGGTAATTGCATAACAATCAGAGTAACATTTGAATTGATAAAACAACCCCTCCCTTCCTTTTTACATGCCAGACAAGGCAGGGAAACCATAGATGGGGGGATGGTAACAGAGAAATTACACAAAAATTGAAAAAATACGAAATTTTTACTCCATAAAGAAAACCGATACAATATATTTATGTATACAGTTTGCCTAGCAGTGTATAGGTGACCAACACGTTTTGGGTTCACTTCTTCAGGATCCACACCTTAATTGTATATGTTGTGAATTGTACATTCTCCAAGCACCAGCTGTAGATCTCATTCCTTTGAATATCATATATAGACATGAATGTTCTAGCGGATAGCAATGGTCATCAACTTTATGGAGTCACCATCAGAGCTCAGTTCAGTAGGCGCCGACTACCGTATTTTTCGCTCCATAAGACACACTTCCCCCCCCCCCCCCCCCCCCCCCCCAAAAAAAATGGGGGGAAATGTCTGTGCGTCATATGGAGCGGCCGGCCTCGGTATTCCCCCTTGTTGCCGTGTTAGCATACCGGGTCGGCCACTCGGCTCTACTGTGTAGAAGAACCCGCTTCTTGCTGTTCCGCAGTCCAGCGGTGTCCTGCTTTCACCGGCCGTCTTCTCTCCCTGCCGCCGGCATCTTCAGTGTGGGCACCTGGTTGTGACAGCTTGAGGCTCCCACAGCTGGGTGCCCAACTGCGCATGCTCGAGAATTGCTGCGCTTTGTGAATGGCCCCGTAGTCTTCTGGGGACCTGTCGCATGTCCCTCGGAAGTGGGGAGCGGGTACCTGTCAAATTCATGCTCTCCTGTCTTATGTTAACTGCCTCAATATAAAGCCACTCCCATGAAAGCCACATCCATGTTATCAAGAAAACCACATGTCTGGTTCCAATACGGCACCACGCTGCTGAACTTTATCTTTACTCTCAGTTTTGAACAGTTGTATTGAGATTGCTTACTCTGATTTCACTGCACACTGTGAGCTCACAGTGTGCATTAAAAGCTGCAGCAAGTCAGAGTCCACGTATGTTCTTGGGTCTAAAACAAAGCAATTAGGGTTGCACCGATACATTTTTTTATTTTTTTTTCACTGGTGAGTAACCAGTAAAAAAACTGCTAAATGCATACGTGAGCTACACGCAGAGGAAAAAAGTTTCATGTTCCGTCTGCGAGGAGCACAAATATGCAGTTGGCTTGGCAATGAAATTAAGAGCAGCAAAGCACACTGGGACATGTAGGAATTTTACTTTATGATGAAATTTGCCAGTGTCCATTGCCTAAAAAAAGTGCTGGAGGTTCAAAAACACACCTAGCCATGTTTTGCACATTTTACAGCGTCTGATTTTACAGCTGAAAAACCCCCTTCAAACGCAGTAGTCCTGTGTTTTGTTTTTTTTTTTTTCAGCATGAAAACCTCCCTACCAAAAACAATGATAAAAGGTTGTGTGTGCACAGGCACATAGGATAACAAGCTGGGGAGTTTACTAGCCCTGCAAAAATGCCCAGTGTGCATGAGGCCTTAGCCTCAACATAAGTGCCAAAAGTTATATTCTCCATTCTTTGAAAAAGATCATGTACAATGTTAGTTCCTCACAGGGGGCGGACTGACCATTTGGAAACTCGGGCACTGGCCGAGGGCCCGGGGTCAGTACGGCCCCATGAGATGCCCCTGGTACCTTTTTCTTAGGCTTTTTTTTTTTTTTTTTTTTAGTTTGGGTAAGGACACGGCCCCATGATCCCCTATTGCCCGAGGGCCCCTTGAGTTGTCAGTCTGCCCCTGGTTCCTCATAATGGAAAGGAAAAAAAATCCTGCCATCTTAACCTCCTTCCACCAGTCTTAAACATATATAGAGCTACCGGGCTTTAATGCATATAGTATGTATATGCTGCGAGGGGCCTAAAGGTATGGGATTTTACGGAGGAAGGATTTCTTTTCACAGCACAAATCATTTATAACATACTTCAGCCTCTTAGATGCGCTAAAAAGTTTATCACCGTTACATGATGTTTCTGGGTTTTTTTCGAGATGTGCAAAGAGAGATCTCACAAACACTTGTAGGTAAAAATCAAAACCGTATATAACATTTAATTAAAGCGGCATTCCACCTGAAAAAATAAAAAAAAAACAAAAACTGTAGCTGCTGACTCTTAAAATAGTCACTTATTTGTCCCTCTGTCCAGCAGTGTCCTCACCACCAGGGGCGGACTGACCATTTGGAAACTCGGGCAGTGCCCGAGGGCCCGGGGGCAGTAGGGGGCCCCATGAGATGCCCCTGGTACCTTTCATAGGCTTTTATGGGTGTAGTTTGAGTGCGGCCCCATGATCCCCTATTGCCCGGGGGCCCCATGAGTTGTCAGTCTGCCCCTGGCTAAGTGTATTCAACCCATTACACCCATCTTCTGTAGTTCTTTCCTGAATATAGTTCTAGATGCTTTCTTTTTATGGTTTTCTAATTAAACACACACATGGTCAGAACCCCATTGCCATAACCAGAAAAGGTGGAACGGGCAAGAGGAGACCAGATGTGCGCTCAACACCTTCTTCGTAGGAGAGCAGAAGAGGAGAAACCCAGTGATGAAAGCTGAAAGTCAATGAGCTTACTCAAAACACACAAACATATGCAGATACATCTTCTTAGCCGCATCTTTTTTCATAGGCTTTTTGAGTTTGGGCAAGGACACAGGGGCCCCATGATCCCCTATTGCCCGGGGGCCCCATGAGTTGTCAGTCTGCCCCTGGTGAGCCCTAATAAGGAAAATGAAATTTCTCCGTTACCAACAAAAGGTGAATTATCCCTTTAACTGCTTCCTGTCCAGCAATTTACCGGTTCGTCGCTGGATAGGAAGGGTGATATCTCAGTTATCTCTGCAGCGTCAGCAAAGATGAGATTAAAGTAATCCTAGCAGCTATGGAGCTGCTGGATTACTTTTTCAGGCGGTGCCACCTTCTCTACCGGGCTCTCCTGACTGATGTAACCGGCGACACCTGGCTTCTGGGACACGAGTGTAAGTGATGTTGTTCCTCCCACTGTGTGATGTCAGAAACCCAAAGCAATGCTCTCTAACTCCTTTGTCTCCTCCTCCCATGCTCGTCTCCAGGACTTCTCCAGAGCTTCCCCCATCCTCTGGAACTCTCTACCCCAATCTATCCGACTATCACCTACTCTACTCACTTTTAGGAGATCTCTGAAAACTTATCTCTTCAGGGAAGCCTATCCTGCCTTCAGCTAACAATGGAATCTTCTATTCCTCCTACTAGTCCATCCCCCACAGTTATTACCTTTTGTACCACCAGCTCCTCCCTATTAGATTGTAAGCTCCCAGGATCAGAGCCCTCCTATCCCCCCTGTATTGTTGCTGTATTGTCTCCCTTTATTTTGTAAAGCGCTGAGCAAACTGTTGGCACTATATAAATCCTGTATAAAAATGAGGATTTTTGTCACTTCCGTTTTCGGTTTTTCATAGCAGAGATGTGGGGTCTAATAGATATAGTTTTTTTTATTTTTTTTTGGGGGGGGGGGGTTGTTTGGTATTTTTTTTTTGTGTTTTGCTTTTTTTGGGGGTTTTTTTTTTCCTATGCTTGTCCCAGTGACAGATCCGGCCTGAGCTCCGAGCCTGCTCAGCAAGACGGCCCTGGGGGACACACTCACCCCCACCATAATTTCCACTCGCCATTTGGCGAGCAGGCGAGTGGAAATTTCAAGCCCTGACCTGGGCGATCGGACCGGCAGTGGGAGCGGGTACCTGTCAAATTTGGGTACCCGCTTCCCAAAGGTACCAATCCTTAATGGGGAGCGGGGGAGCAGTCCTGAAATCGGAACTTCCCCTTTTGGGTGGAGCTCTGCTTTTAAGTAATTTTTCTAGCAAAAAAAAAAATTTTTTTTACATGTAGGAGAGGAATGTCAGAATTGGCCTGGGCTGGAAGTAGCAGGAAAGGTTGTTTGATTTGATATAGATGCGCAATTGATTGTCTTTTTTTTTTTTTTTTGCAGATTCTAAGCAATGGGTAACACTTCAGCACAATATAACAACACATCAAAGTCTTCACAATGCAGAAACATTTTATGACAACTGCAAGCCAGCACCTTTGGACCTCCAGACCAGTGACACCCAGGAGCAGCCACTTTCTCCCTTGGAAAATGAAAAGCTGTTTTGTACCAAGTCTGTTCCTAAGGAACATCCTAAACCATGCCAAGTATCCAAGCCTTTCCTTTGCCATAAATGTGGGAAAGGTTTTTGTAACCGAGTGCATCTTATCCGGCATCAGATAACTCACATCGACAGAAAGCCATTTGTTTGCTCGGACTGCGGCAAATGTTTTGCTCAGTACCCAACGTTTTTGCTGCATAAGAGGAATCACAAGGGAGACGTGCCGTATTCCTGTTCCGACTGCGGGATGGTTTTCAGTCAGAAGTCTGACCTTTGTAAACATGTCCAAACCCACACAGAGCAGAAGCCGTTTTCTTGCAATGTGTGCGCCAAGTCTTTTAGCGCGAGCTCCATCCTCATTAAACATTATAGAATCCACACAGGGGATCGGCCGTTTGCCTGTCCTGTGTGCGGGAAATGTTTCAGGCAGAAAAACCATCTAGAAAAACATAAAGTCGTTCATTCAGAGGAGAAGCGTTACTTCTGCTGGGAGTGCTCGGCGTCTTTCCCATCTGCTGATGACCTCGCTAGTCATAAACTTATCCATTCGTGCAATAAGCCCTTTTCCTGTTCTGAGTGCGGGAAAGTGTTCAGGTGGAGGTCGTCGCTCTTGGAGCATGCTAAAATTCACACTAGAGAGAAATCCTTTGCGTGTTCTGAATGCCCGAAAGCTTTTAACTGGAAGTCCTCATTGGTAGAACACCAGAGAGTCCACTCCACTGATAATCTCTTTTCTTGCCCCGAGTGTGGGAAGGGTTTTTATAAACGGGCCAATCTAGAGCAGCATCAGAGGATTCACACCGGTGAAAAACCATTTGCGTGTTCTGACTGCGACAAAAGCTTCTCACGCAGGAGGAACCTGAAAAACGGCACCAGGCGCTTCATAACACAAAGGCAGTATTTCCATGCTCTGAGTGTGGGAAGTGTTTTCAGCTGGAGGCCGCCCTTGAACAACATGGGAAAGTGCATGAGAAGAATGGAAGTCCTAACGGAGATGGTGGCAGAGGGTTTACATACAATTCAGAACTCCGTAAAGACTTGCAGGTTAATGTCAAAGGGCAGGTGTATCAAAAGCATCCGGCATTTCATAACACACAGGCAGTATTTCCATGCCGTGAGTGTGGGAAGTGTTTTCAGCAGGAGACCGCCCTTGAACAACATGGGAAAGTCCATGAGAAGAATGGAGGTCCTAACGGAGATGGCTGCAAAGGGTTTACAGACAATTCAGAACTCCGTAATGACTTGTGGGTTAATGTCGAAGGGCAGGTGTATCAAAGGCATCCAGGCATTTCATAACACACAGGCAGCATTTCCATGCCCGAGTGTGTGGGAATGTTTTCACGTGGAGGCCGGCCTTGAGCAACATCGTAAAGTTCATGAGAAGGAAGGATGTCCAAACGGAGACTCTAGCAAAGTGTTTACATACAACTTAGAACCCTGTAAAGACTTCCAGATTAATTCTGGAGAGCAGACTTACCCTTGCACTGAGTGCGGGAAGTGTTTTTAGTACCGTGTCAATATTATCTAAGCACCAGCAAACCCACACAGACGTCAAGCCTCATTTGTGCGCTGAATGTGGCAAATGCTTTTTCTGATGAAACCACTCTTGATACTCACCAAAGAACCCACAGCGAGGAAAAACCCTTTGCCTGTTCCACCTGCGGAAAAAGATTTAGCCAGAAGGTCCATGTGGAAGAACATCAATGCACTCATAGCAAGGTCGCCGAGCTTTTCACAGACCACTCTTACGAAGACTGCGGAAAGAATTTCTTGACCGAGTCTGAGATGAACCACCACCATGTTGAGAGAAAATCATTTTCCTGTTCAAATTGTGGCAAATGTTTTTCCAGGGAGTACAATCTAAAGCAGCATGAGAAAATGCACCAGTCTGGGAAAAAGTTCTCCTGCACCGAATGCGGAAAAAGCTTCATCAACAACGCGCACCTTGTACGGCACCAGACCACCCATACCGAGAGGAAGCCGTTCATCTGCTCCGAGTGCGGGAAAAGCTTTGTGCAGTACTCTTCTCTTACGCAGCATGAAAAAATCCACAAGGGGGCCAGTTACAAATGCTCAGAGTGCGGGAAAGGTTTTACGCAGAAGGCTGACCTTGCCAGACACAACAGAACTCACTCTGGAGAGAAACCTTACTCCTGTTCGGAATGTGGCAAAAGCTTTAGCGTCCGTTCGGTCCTCGTAAAACACGAGCGAATCCATTCCGGGGAGAAGCCGTATTCTTGCTCAGAATGTGGGAAACGTTTCAACCAGAAGCCGCATCTTGAGAAGCACATGAAGGTGCACAGTGGGCAACAACCGTTTGTTTGCTTGGAATGTGGACAGGGCTATGACACCAGCGCAGGCCTCGCGAGACACAAGGCCACCCACGCAGGGAACAAACCTTTTTCCTGTTCGGAATGCGGAAAGGGTTTCAACTGGAAGGCATCTCTTGTAGAGCACATGAGGGTTCATACAGGAGATAAGCCGTTCTCCTGCTCTCACTGCGGACTTCGCTTTCCCAAGAAGGTTATGCTGGTAAAGCACCAGAAAACGCACACCGATGGCCTACACTGTCCCAAGAGCTCAGATCTTCCCAAAGAGAAAATCGTGTGAACAAGATGTGGATGGTGGATCTGAAAATGCTGAGAGCGATGCCAGCTTTAACGTCATCACAGTAAAACTGGAAGATGAAGAGGATCCTGTGGGATCACGGGCAGAATTTAATTACATGTCTCTGTAGACTGCTTCTTGTGCCTTTCCTGTGAATGCGCACATCTTTACTATTTAAACAGCCAATCAAAAATAAAATATTGTATTAGGAAATTGCCTTTTTTCACTTTTTCCTGCTTACATGCCTGAAACGTGTAAAGGCGTTACTCATTTTTAAAGAGAAATCAGGTGGCGCACACACCTAGTGCATTATCCAAGGTTTATTGTAAGGAGTGAAAAATAAAAACATACAGACGAAGCATGTATCTAAAAAGCATAGAAAAATGACGATGGCCACAACGGCAGGCAAGGTGTTCTCACTGTCAGTGCGGTCAAATGGCTGCCGCGTTTCGGGGACAAATCCCTTTCCTCAGAGCTAATGACCAACCTCTGATGCAGATGTGTAATGAATGGATAGTGGGAGCCTTGCTGGTGATGCCTGACAATGAGAACACCTTGCCTGCCGTTGTGGCCATCGTCATTTTTCTATGCTTTTTAGATACATGCTTCGGCTGTGAGTGTTTTTATTTTTCACTCCTTACAATAAATCTTGGATAAGGCACTAGGTGTGTGCGCCACCTGTTTTCTCTTCATCCAGTGGCTGATCTCCATGGGTGAGGAGGGCTGCACCCCTGAAGCATTTCCTTTTGGTTGTCGCTGTCCTGGTACCCTTGGCTTCCCTTTTGGCTGTGCATATCCTGAGGCGCTGGACAGTACATACGATATCCGTTACTCATTTTTAGCACAATAAATGATGTGGCGCTAATGGCAAAATTACGTAAGTGAATAACACAAATATAGGTGAAAGATATATAAATGAAACCTATATAAATAAAAAGTATATAAAAAATGATCATTAAAAACAAAGTACACATGACTGCAACCTCCTAGGCTCTACCTACAGGGTGATAGAAAAGTACCGTATTTGCCGGCTTATAAGACAGCTTTTTAACCCATGAAAATCTTCTGAAAAGTCGGGGGTCGTCTTATACGCCGGTATACGGCGAGCCGGTGTCAGGGCGGCACTTTTTCGAGGGGCGGCGCGGTGGCGGAAGGGACACTAAGTACAGGGGGCGAGCAGGGGGCTGGTGTACCTTACCTGGCTCCAGTCCCGGTCTCACGACGATCCGGTCCAGGAAGCGTGGCTGCTCCTTTCAGTTCGGCCACTCGGTGGTCGCGCGGCCACTTGGCTCCACCTTCTCACCGGTGATTGGGCGCCAGCACTGGAAAGGCACACAGGCGACCAATCACCGGTGAGGAGGCGGAGCCAAGCGGGCCCCGTGAAAATCGAGTGAGGGAGCGGCCAGTAAGTGTGCAGCAGCACCATGATGTGACACTCTTGGCCCTATTCCTCTCCCCCACTGACACCAACGATGGGGCACTATTCCTCCCCCACTGACACCAAACGATGGGGCACTATTCCTCCTCCCCAATGACACCAATGATGGGGCACTATTCCTCCCCCACTCACACCAATGATGAGGCACTATTCCTCCCCCCACTGACACCAACGATGAGGCACTATTCCTCCTCCCCACTGACACCAACGATGGGGCACTATTCCTCCCCCACTGACACCAACGATGGGGCACTATTCCCCCCCCCCCCCACACTGACACCAATGATGGGGCACTACTCTCCCCACTGACACCAATGATGGGGCACTTTTCCCGCCACTGACACCAACGATGGGGCACTATTCCTTCCACTGATACCAATGATAGGGCGCTATTTTCCTCCCACTGACACCAATAATGGGGCGCAATTCCTGCCACTGATACCAATGATGGGGCGCTATTCCTCCCACTGACACCAATGATGGAGCACTATTCCTCCCACTGACACCAATGATGGGGCACGATTCTTCCCACTGACACCAATGATGGGGCACTATTCCTCCCACTGACTATTGATGGGGCACTATTCCTCCCACTGACTAATGATGGGGCACTATTCCTCCCACTGACTAATGATGGGGCACTATTCCTCCCACTGATACCAATGATGAGGCACTACTCCACTGATACCAATGATGGGGTGCTATTCCTCCCACTGACACCAATGATGGTGCACTATTCCTCCCACTGATACCAATGATGGGGCGCTATTCCTCCCATGACACCAATGATGAGGCACTATTCCTCCCACTGATACCAATGATGAGGCACTACTCCTCCCCACTGATACCAATGATGGGGTGCTATTCCTCGCTCTGACACCAATGATGGGGCACTATTCCTCCCACTGATACCAATGATGAGGCACTATTCCTCCCACTGACACCAATGATGGGGCACTATTCCTCCCACTGATACCAATGATGGGGCACTATTCCTCCCACTGATACCAATGATGGGACACTATTCCTCCCACTGTTACCAATGATGAGGCACTATCCCTTCCACTGACACCAATGATAAGGCACTATTCCTCCCACTGATACCAATGATGAGGCACTATTCCTTCCACTGACACCAATGATGAGGCACTATTCCTCCCACTGATACCAATGATGGGGCACTATTCCTCCCACTGATACCAATGATGGGGCGCTATTCCTCCCACTGATACCAATGATGGGGCACTATTCCTCCCACTGACACTAATCATGGGACACCATTCCTCCCACTGACACCAATGATGGGACACCATTCCTCCCACTGATACCAATGATGGGGCACTATTTCATCCACTGACACCAATGATGGGGCACTATTCCTCCCACTGATACCAATGATGGGGCACTATTCCTCCCACTGACACTAATCATGGGACACTATTCCTCACACACTGACACTAATGATGGGGCACCATCATTGGTGTCAGTGGGAGGAATAGTGTCCCATCATTGGTATCAGTGGGAGGAATAGCACCCTATCATTGGAATACCATACTGAAATAGCATACCATATTGAAATCAAATCTGATGTTTTTTTATTTGGTGTGTGTTGGAAGAGGGGTAGTCTTATACGGCGAGTATAGCTCAAGCCCTATATTTTAACAGGAAAAGTAGGGGGTCGTCTTATATGCCGGCAAATACGGTAACTCCTTATTTTAAAAATCTAATTTATTTTTAATCATTATTTTTACAAAAAATGAATATGAAAAGAACACACATAACATGGAGTTTTATTTAAAATTCTTCTTGAGCACAGTTCGTACACAGTAAGAAGAGAGACCACTTTCCCTTGCTGCTTGTTGAATGGCCTTTTTTTGGGCTCTGAGTGACCATTTCTTGAATTGTTCTCACTACCTCCGGGTCACTGGCATTGGAAGGGGGCGACCGCTTCTTTGAGCATCCATGACAGAACCCGTCGCCATGAGTTTTGCATGACTGTTCTTGTTGGTCTTTGCATCGATCTGAGCATGTTTTCCTTTGATGGTCCTCCACCATCTTTGCACTTGAACAACTGATTTCCAAACTTCGTAGCTTGCCGCTAACTGGGCACGCTCTTGTACAGTTAAACGTCCGGACATCTTTATGGGGCTTTGAATTTTAAAACAAAATAATCAATCTAAAAAGAAAAACATCAATACAGATTTAAATCAAAATAAACAGCGCAAAACAATACCCCAAATAAATTAATTACATAATAAATTAAATTATTAGTGTGTGCAAAAAAAAAATTATATAAAGTCCTTTATCCCAAATTCCAATGTGCTTCAAAAAATTCCTTATTTTCCTCCTACGTTGTGTGCTTCCTCCATCCACCAGTGCTGTAACCAACATAAAGCGCACTCACCAGATATTGGTGAATAGTAGGACTTTTAGGGATCCTACACCCCCTCTACAGCCTCCAGACCTCCATTCCACCATACAGGGCTTGGATAATCCTTCCACTCAATTGCTGATAAAAGCCTTCCAAACCACTCGCACTGGGCGGACAGG